TCACAAACTCTTCAATCCTTGTTAAATAGCGGGTGGTTTCAGTTGATTCAAAACTATCGGTGAGGTCAACTAAAACTGTATCTAAACCGGTAAAGTGTAACTGCTTATAGAGCCGGTAAAGTGTAACTGCTTATTTGGATCCTTAGGCTGATAATAAGTATTCTTAAAGACAACTTCAAGTTTTGCTGGTATAAACCCATCATTTTAGCAGCTTCAGTTTCCGCATCAAAAAGTGTTTTGAAACGTGAGTACGCAAAAATTTCAAAAATTGTTTCAGGTTCTAAATGATGGATTCAGCCTTATTAAATTTAAGTTAACTTCCCTGATATTTTGACATGATACTTTCTATATCGTAAAAATTACTTTAAAGCACTAGTATACAGCGCGAAACATTAAATTGATCATCAAAACATCTTAAACTGAGATCAAAAGACAATCTAAATTTTTGTTTTATCGAAAAAACGCATTTTTAAATGAAAAAATTAAACTACTTTTTCAAGTTTTTATCTTAAAAATAATTTTTTTGGGTATGTTTATAGCAAAAGATGATTTCTTTTTTCGCTTTTTAATAGATTTCCTTCTCTAATTTCTTCCTCTGTTTAAAAATAAAAAAAAATTAAAATAATATTTATTATAAGATTAGATAAAATTTCAAGGGGAGCAAACGAATTTTCAAGGGGGGCAAGGTTAACTCAAGGGGGGCAGTCTGCCCCTGTTGCACCCCATAGTCTACGCCTATGATAGGCATTATAACGTTATAATTTCGATAAAAAATAACGTTAGTGTAACCAACGCTTCTACAACGTTGTAATTCCGATGAAAAATAACTTTAGTATAACCAACGTGATTACAACGTTAGATTTAGTTGGTAGATACCACCAAAGCTAGCACACATTCATTGAGCCAACGTATATAAAACCATTGCAAACGTCGACTATTTTTTTTTTTTAAATGCAAATCCAACGTTGATCCAATATCATGTTTTTAGACATGCTATCAATAAAAGAGTTAATACCGACCAAACTAAAAACAGCTTGCACAGGTACATTAGTCTAACGTATGTAAAATCTTCGTAAAACTTTATTGTTTTTACAATCTAAACCCAACGTTGATTCAATGTATATGGATTTACGCTGATAAAATGTATATAACCCAACATTAAATTTCGTCTCAAACGAAATTTTAAAAAAATTTAAAAATAATAATTATTTTGTAAAAAACAACATTTTTTAGGGTTTTTTGAAGTCAATTTTTTTTAAAGACATTTTTCAAATATGATTATTTAAATATGATTATCATTTTAAAATTTTAATAAAATTTCGATCCTTTTGAGACCTGTTTTACTTCTACTGTTGTTAGATCAAAAGTAAAAAAAGGCTTGCAGAAAATAATCAAGCGAATAAGTTCTTAAAGCACTGTTGCATTAGAGTTGTTTAGCATTGTTTGGCACAGTGGCGGATTAAGACTTCTTGGGGCCCGGGACTATTTTTGTTTTTCAAGCCCATTTTATGGGCCAGAGCCTAAAAATGACTTAAAAAAAAAAAAAAGTCCTCTAAAATTTTTGGGGGCCCCAAAATTTGCGGGGCCCGGAGCTGCAGCCCTCCCCTAGCCCCCTTGATCCGCCACTGATTAGGGACACTGTTTAAGGGTCAAAACGGGGAACGCCACTGTTTAAGGGTCAAAACGGGGAACTTTCTGCAAAACATTTTTATTTTTTACAATTGCTTCTGGTTTCATTCATGGATTAGAAAATAATTACGAAGTATTGTGATGAAATTCCCACTTATGTTTGTTTTCACCCCAGCCTACTATACAGGCTCAGAATAGGCAGAGGTATACCTAATTTGACAAATATAATAAAAATCAAAACAAGCAGAGTTTTGAAATAACGTTCTTTCGGATGATATAAAATAAGATTTTCATTTTTAAATAAAACGCAGACTACAAAAAGGGTATTCTATTTTTACAAATACTTCCTTTATTTCCTTGGTCTACGTTTTATTAAGTATTCAAATTCTTATTTAGAATTACCCTAAAGAACGCTAAGTTTATCTTAGTGATGGGAATATTATCTGTTGTTAACTTAAAGAAATGGAAAAGAAAGTGTACTTGTTAAAGTTAATTCGAAAAAATCTATAAATAAAATGTAATGTCCGCGGTTTTGGAGCATACTAAATACAAAGTTTATATGCAGTTTTAGTAGACTATTGGCTAAGAACTTTAAAGTTTTTTCAAATAGAAAATTTGTACTGGTTGCAAAACTAGCTTACACGTTTCATGTATTATTTTTGAAATTTACACGTTATATGAACTCTGAGGAGATTTTGTTTTGATATTTTAGTTCAACTTGATTTTGAGAAAACTAGTAAATTTTTTTTATTACATAACTGAGTTATTAACTCTGATGAAAACTCCATTCTCAAACCTTTAAACACTTTTTGAAGATTAAAAAAAGTTTTGCAGGCTACATTAACTTATATATAATAGATGACAATCGGATATTAATGCTCTATTTAAAAGTTTAACAAAAGAAGTGAAATTTTATATTTATCTACTGAACAGAAATTTTTTGTACAGTTGCATATAAACACTGACATTACAAGCAAGAAAAAGTATTGAAGTCAAAAAAGTTAACCAAATAATGGATTTTAGCATCAAAAAAAAAAAAAAAAAATTTTAGCACATTTTTGTTAAAAGTTAAACAAAATAATGAAAAAAGAATAATGAAGGAAAGAAAGTAAAACTATTGGAAAAAAGAACTTTTTATTGTAGTAAAATTATCGAAAAAGTATCCACAACAGTTAAAAAAAACCAACTTGGTTTTATTGATTATATCAAAATAATTCTTACACATAAAACTTTTTATTTTTTTATTTTTGTAGAGCTAACATATTTTTGCTTTTGTTCACCAAATTAAATTTTATTGTCACTTTGATAGTTTTTAACCAATTATTGATTTTTACATGGTTAGAGTGATAAAATCCGTCATAAAACAAACTACTTTTTTTTAATCTTTAACTTTAAAATATTACTTTTTTCAAAAGTTTTTAAAAGAGTTGTAAAGTTTTGTACTTTATTTGTACAAAGTTGATACAAAACTATAATTTTTGGTTACTATTATTTGATTTTTTGTATAATTATTTAATTTTACTTTTATTCAATACACTTTTTGACATTTGTTTTGATTTTGATTTTAACAAAAGCAAGCGGTAGCTTCAAATTTCCAAGATAAATTTCAAGTCCAAGATAAATTCCAAAACCAGGATAAAATATTTGTTTCATTTATAAGTTTAGACAGCTATGGTTTATCAAATCTGGCCCCGGTCCTGATCAAATATCAGCGCTAGTTGCTTACTAATATGAAATGAGCATTAAGAAATAAATGTGTCAATGGAAACATTTGTTGTTAATAAGCCTTTTTTCTATTTGTTTGGTTGGAGAACATCTGTCAAACAAATTTGATATGTATCAAGTCATTGAACAACCAACATTTTTATTATTGTGTTAAAAATGTTGAATTTTTTACTTGAAAGTGATGATTTGCAGAAAGCAATGCTTTCTGCAAAGCAAAAAAAAAACTAATAATGCTTAGCATTATTATTTTTTTTTATTTGAAGAAAAGTGGTGCAGAGTCACATCAAATACTTGTCAATGCATATAGTGATCATATGCTCTATCAGAAGCAACATGCAATATATGGTTTCAACAGTTCAGAGATAATGATTTTGATGTAAGAAATGAAGAAGGTGGATGACCATCAAAAAAATTTGAAGACCCAAATTGCAAACAATATTGGACAAAGATAATAATTTGAGTCAAAATCAAATCGCAGCAATGTTAAATGTTGCACAACAAACAATTTCTGACTGTTGAAAAGCTATGGGAAAGATCCAAAAGTGTGTAAAATGGGTGCAAAAAATGGGTGTCTGAATGGTTTGCTTCAAAAGACTAATATTTCTATTGGTTTGGTACTCACAAATTGGCAGTATTTCTACTGCCAATTTGTGAGTACCAAACCAATAGAAATATTAGCTCAAAATGTGTAGAAAGCAATGGTCAATACTTAAAATAACATTTTTTTAACTTTCCAATTTAAAACCAGTGTTTCATTTTCAAGATGCCAAAAAAAAAAAAAACACAAAAAGATATATATTTTTGTTTCTCTTCACTTTGAAATCTTTTTGATAATAGTTTCTATTCATGGTTATATATATTAATAATGATATAAATTCGCTATATTTACTTTAACTTCAATTTAAAATAATAGTATTCTTTAATAAATGTATGGTGAAACACACAAACAACAACTTTTTATATGTATAAAAATTATGTAAAATGAGAATATTTTGCAAAAATCTATCCAAGTCTAAGAATTAAACTGAAAAAGTTCTTTAATGTTTTAATGTTATAATAACACAGTCCCAATTTAAGAGAGATATTAAGTATACTCATTAAATTATAATTTGTTAATGAGTTTTGGTAAAACAAGTTTTTAGCTACAGTTATGATTATATACAATTGTTATCCTCAGTGCTGGATTAACCATTCGGCCAGACTAGGCCATGGTCTGGGACTCCCAATGATCAGAGTCCCCCAAAAATTGAACTTTAAAATCCTATTTTTTAATTTAATTATTATTTGGACAAATTTTATTGTCAAATAATTTTTTTTTATTATTCAACTTCATTATTGTATTTAACTTGAAATATTTCTTCCCAATTTTTTAAATTTAGGAATTTATTTTTAGCTTAGAAAAAAATGGGGCCCCTAAAAGTTTCAGTACCAGGGAGCTCAGTTTTCTTTAATCCAGCACTGGTTATCATTGACCAGTATGAACATAATAGGTTAGAATTTGCCTAATACATGAAAGTTACTTATCTCTATAACCAAGAAAGCATTTCAATGTTTTTGATTTTAATAAAAAAAAAATTTAAACTTGTTTCTAAATATATATCTTTATTTTATAAAGATATATATTTACAATTTTTATGTAAATTTAGGTGATTTTACTGACTCGGAACAACAAATTGAAATTATCTTACCTATTGAGTTGTTTGGAGAAAGTCTTTTAGGATTGCCTGCAGGTAGCAGAGTGTTCCAGGTAAAATTTTATTAGTAGAATTATTAGTTTTAGTGTTTCTAAAAAACAATCTTAAATTATATTCACAAAATAATCTTTGTTTTTAGGTAATAATTTTTTGCTTTGTTTTTAGTTAAAATGTTTTTTTAAATATAGTGGTGTATTAATAAAAGTAACAATCCAATCATAAATATTTTTTCTACATATTCATATATGTCATTTTTTAGCTAACCTTTTCACACCATTAATAAAAGAACTGATCTGATTGAATTATTTTGTACTAATTTGAATCTTAAATTATATTAACACAATAAATTTTTTTTTGATAAATAACTTTGTTTTTATCAAAAAAAATTTTTTTCAAATACATTGATCTATTATTAAAAGTAACAATCCAATGATTAATATTTTTTTCTATGTAACCATACATTTCATTTTGTAACTAACCTTTTATAAAAGAACTAATCATTAATAGAAGAACTGATCTGCTTGAAATCATCTTTTTATTATTATTGACCATCTCTTAAATTCTCAATCAATAAATGTATTTAATTTAGTATGACTACAATATATAATTCTATAATTTTAAATAAAACTTCAATATATATATATATATATATATATATATATATATATATATATATATATATATATATATATATATATATATATATATATATATATATATATATATATATATATTGAATTTTCATTTAAAATTATAGAATTATATATTGTAGTCATATTGAATTAAATACATTTATTGATTGAGAATTTAAGAGATTGTATATTTTTAATATAATACAATGTTTTAATCAAACAGAGTGATCAATAATATATATTTTAAAATAGTATATATTTTAAAGTTACTGTCTTTACAAATCAATTAGATATTTGCAGTTTTATAGAAATGTAATGAGCATTACTTATTTCTTTACAAAGAGGTATTACTGGGTAGTTCTGCTAGAGTAAAAGGATCCAAAGCAACAGATACTGTCTGTGAAACAATTAATGTTGGAGCGACAGCTGTAGCTGACTCCTTCTACACATTTTCTTTCTTTTTTCCTGGTTTTTTCCAAGCATTTTTCATTTGGAGTAGGTTATGCAGCTTTCTTTCACTCTTGATGCGCTCAACATTGTCTTGGATAAGTTTTACCGCTCTTTCAGACAAACCGTTGACCACATCAACAGATTTAACAAAATTCTGGAACTCAAGATATCTTTGAAATTCTTTCCAAAAGATTTGTGGAAGTTTCATCCAGATACATTTTTCCATATTATGCCCTAGAATGATGAAGATTAACCATAAATTGTTAGAAACATAAGAAGCTAGAGATGGGGGATGATCGTTATGCTTCAAAACACTGGTAATATCTGGAAGAACTGTTCTGACTTTCATAACTTTATTATTGTTATGGTCATCTCTCTTGGTTAAGTATAGAGGCTTCACCATTTCTTCCATGTCCTTGTAATGGCTACTGTTGGAAGAGGCTAGCAACATTACAACTGTGGCTGGATCTAGGTACCAAGTATGATTTTACCTTGATTTGACAACAACTTTGGCTGCAGGCTCAAATTTATCATAGTGGCACATCTGCCAGTAGTTCCTCTAATCCTATAAAAAATTTAGGTGTTGTTATTCAATTTATTAACATTGTAACTATTATGATAATTTATGAAATTAGTTTATATACCAAACCTGAAAGGCAGTAGAATTTGCAAAATCGCATGTCAGGAACCATGGAGCCTAGAACAGTGCAATATACTCAGCCATTCTATTAATCTCTTTGATAATGTCTTCACTCAGGTTAATGATCAGTCTGATCCTTGGCAGCAGTAGTTCAAACTTCATAAAGTAAAAAACCTTGCCCTAAAATTCTAACTACCTGGGTTAGTTAGTGCATCAGAAAAAGATGAAACCATCTCATTGACATAAAATAGAACTTTTGTTTTAAAAATAAGATTTAAACAAAAACAAACAAAAATCTTTTAAGCTGAAGACGCTGGTCACAACAATCCAACAAAAATTTCTTTAAAAAAATAAATTTAGTATCGAGACAAATTCGTATTTGTTGATGTTTATAAAATAATAATTTACATACTCTCATACATGATGTCTACATTCAAAAATGTATATATATATATATATATATATATATATATATATATATATATATATATATATATATATATATATATATATATATATATGTATATGTATATATGTACTTGTTACGAAAAATGCTGTGCCATATCCTCCATCAATCCAGGGTTTCTTTAAAGCAAAAAGAATGTAGTTCTGAGCACATATTGCTTGTCCAGAGCATACTGACATCATTTCACCATGGGAAGAACAACCAATCAAAGTTTTGGTGTGAGTATTTTTGTCTAACAAATGCCTGAGTTGTCAAGATTAAATTTAGACTTAATAATTTCCATTTTTCAAACTGAAATTTATTTACTTGGTTAATATATTGAATGATAACTTTTAATCCATTTAATATTTTAATCTTACCTTTAATGAAAATTAAGAATAATTTCCTCACCATTCAAAAAGTGTAAGAAAAAGTTTGTGTTTCACAGACTTTCTCTAATACTTTTTTATTTTCAAATAAAAATGTCTTCGAAACCGATCTTGTGATTTTTGGTAACATCTTTACTTTTTTTTTAAACCTTCTTTTGATTTTTGATTTTAAAGTGAAGGGTTTAAATGGCAGTTTATAATAAAAATAATATTCTTAACTTAAGTAAAAGTATGGCACAAACTTGTTTTTTAACCTTTTCTAATATTTTTAGAATAAATTTCGAAAAATAAACTTTGTCTTTGTTTGTGGCAGATATGAGTTATATTCGATTGCAAGCATCATTCTAAATAATTATTCTTAAAATTATATAAAGTTAGTGTGTTTTAAGTTATTTTTCTTGGTCCTAAATTGATATATACTTCTTTTGAAATTTTTTTTTGAAATATGGCACACCCTAATATATACATATATACAAATGTGTGTGTGTGTGTGTGTGTGTGTGTGTGTGTGTGTGTGTGTGTGTGTATGTGTGTGTGTGTGTGAAGAGGGAGAGACAAAAAATGAATATCTATAATTCTTAAAAAAGCAGTTCCCTTGTTTTAAACTTTCAAAGCAAAACATCTGATTGAACCAAAAAAAAGTTATACTTGATTTAAAGTTTTTTTTGTACTTTTGTAAATTTTGTATTTTTAATTTAATATTAACATTTATCTATTTTGGATTCAACCTTATGGGTTTAAAAAAAATTTATTGAATGAATGTTTATGTAAAATGAAACAAAAAGTTGTGTTAAGTTTGATTTTTATACTTTTATAGTCATTGTTTTGTACATTTTTGTAGTTTTTTCTTAACAAAGTAATAAAATAAACTGTAAAAAAAATTTGTTTTTTGTAATGTTTTGTAATTAGTTTAATTTTTTTGATGTATTCAATTTTTATTTTTACTTTAGATTTCAGCTTTTGGAAACTTTTATAATATTTCTGTTCAGCCTCAAATTTACTTTGAAGGTGTTCCTGTTCAATATTTGAGCTCAAACAATATATTAGAACAAACAATTTTAGTGAATCAAACTTGTTTTTATTCTGGACCATCAGATGGAAGTCTGCTCATTGTTCTCAGTTACTGCGATGGTTTAGTAAGAATTTTTTGAATTTTTGAAAAAAAATTTTCTTGTATATATATTTGTATAATTAGTTTATTATAATTAATTTTTATTTAACAACAAGTATAAATAATGTAAGCAGTGTGTAGCTTGTATATATGGTAATTGTTGGGTGGTCTATTTTTTAATGCTCAACACAATTCATGCAGTGGTTTAGTTTATTGGTTGTTGTTTTAGACATTTGTATAAGTTATCATAAGTATGAATAATTTACATTGTCAAAAATCAACATCTACCTAGGATGAGTATTTTTATTGAGACATCATCTCTAGATTTATTCATCCTAGAGCCCAGGGGTTTTTAAGTCAGAGTTAACTTTTCCTAGTTTTTGTCTAGTAAAGTGAATCTTACAAGGCAGCAGGACACAAGGCAGGTTGTACTTGGTTACATATAACAAGTAGCAGGGTAAACATGATGATTCTAATCCTAATCTTATAGTTATGTTATTAATTAGAATTATTGTTAAGTATTGATTGTGTATTGATAAAGTTTTGAAATACAAATCATTCAAGACATTTTTAACATATAGGCTTTTCTTGAATGAAGTTAGTTTCAAACTAATCAATATTTTTATAAAAGTGGTTCTCCTAGGAAAAAAACTATTTTCCTTTACTTTTATTGAAAATGATTTTAATACCTGTTTTTCAATACTAAAAATAAATATGAATTTTAAAAATTTAATTTTAATTTATGATTTTATGATGATGAAACAATTTTATAATCAAAATTTTTATATATATATTAAAATTGATCAGTTAAACAGCCTATCAATCTTCCTTTGTACTCTAGATGATAATTGTTTTGCTTAAACTAATGCTGATAAAAATTTTGATGAGAAATTAGGACGTATTGTTATTTCTAGGGCTCCAAGGAGGGTACTTTGTGACTGATGTTACCATGACATAGAAAAATAATGGTTATCATTAAGTAACACTTTTTGAGGTGGAAGCTGGTCGGTTCCTTTAGAGTTTGTTTCTTTGTTGGCAATAACTCAAGATGTGATTAATTCTGCTGCTTTGGCATCTTTTGCTGATAAGGATTGAATGTTTTCTTTTTAACTTTAGTTGAGAGAATTGGTGGGGAAAATTTTTTTTTAAAAGGTTGAAGCATTTGTTGCAAGGCACACTTGGTTCTTTCTCCCTGGTGTTTAGCTCTTTTGAAAGATTTTTTTTTCTTGCAGTTTGAATGACCAATTTGGCAGATGAGACGATCCCGTATAATGTCTCTTGTTTAAGGTCTTACTTGTACAAAATTATAATTTACATATACTTTTTTGCTTTTAATAAAAAATTAGTTAAGAAGTTAACAAACTGCAGTTCTACTTTAAAGATTTTAAAGACCAGACAGTGTTGTTGTAAAAAAATTATCATATATTAAACAATGAATTAAGATTTTAGAATTAAGAAGTTTTTTTTTCACTAAATCTACCATTCTACTTTTTATAAAAAAAACAGCTATAAATTAAAATTGCAAAAAATCTTTAACCACTAAACCAATAAATCTTAAATTTTTTCCAGAGTTTAGTGGCTACATTTACACTAATTTTTATCTAAGTATAAAAGGTTTTCATTTTACAAGTGTTTTTATTGGTGCATTTATCATAGTATGCATTGATGTGTAAGCTATAACCTCATCTAAGTGGCATTTTTGGGTCATCTAGGTTGCCATTATCAGTATCCATGATAACCATGTAATGCAAGCATTACATTTGATTCATGTTCAATAGTATTATACAGATCAACATCAAAATTGGCTGTTCAGTTGCTTCTGGAAAGACATATGGTAATCGATTGTCCAGAGAAAACACCAAGGAGTTAATCACTTGTATCTATATTCTGAGGAAGGTTGTGCTCAGTCATAAAATCCAGTAACCTTGAGAGAAATAAAGGTGCCAATAGCATTATTATTTTCTATCCTCAAGATAGATTTGTTCTTTGATTAATGTGTATACATCACATCTATGAAAAGCATGTGGCTTATTTGGTAAAGTAATTTTGATCCAACCAACTTAAGGTTGTTGTTTGTCTCAGGATACCTTTAGTAAATTGCAAACTTGTTTTAAATGCTAAAGAATTCTCTATCACTGCTCTTCATATAGGTTCTTTCCAAAGAGGTGATCATGGGTATCTGTGAGTTTCTGGTATTTTTTATAAAATTTGAAATACCAAGCTTTTTATTTCAACAGCTTAGAGCTCATCATAAAGTAATGATTCAATATTCAGACGTATCAACCTGTTAATTCTGAGGGAGTTTTATAAAACATTAAGAGATCTAGTTAAAAAAAGCATGAATCTCAGATTGAAATAATCTCTAAAGAGTATTCAATAAAAATACCATAAAACTATTATAAACTATTCAGATACTGAATAGTTTATAATAATTTTATATTATATAGTTAAAAAAATGTTTTAAGATATAACTAAGAAAATGTCATGAAAATAAGAAGGAAAAATAAGAAACTCGAGTTTAAAAATGCGAGGGTTTAAAAAAAACAGTGATCTGGTTAAAAAATGCTAATTTAACAGCATATTTTTCATAGAATTGTAGGAAAGATTCTATAAATTGTTTTGTTTACAGGTATTATTAGTTTTCTTAAGTTTTTATATATTAAGTTGTTTTTTAATTGTTTTAAAAGTATAGAGTTGACTTGTTTAATGTAATTGAAGGGTTCATAAGAAGAATGTCATTGTTGTCAATCTTTCAAGTTTCTGCTATTTTTATTAACTCATTTAAGACTTTTAAGAACAAGTTTGTTCACAAATTTTTTCCAAGGCTTTAAAGTATAAAATTTTTTAAAAACCTGCTCCTTTTTCTAACAGGTGAGTCTTATTGTTTTTAATTTCTCTAAAAGCTTTCCTTTGTTCTTTTGTTAGACTGACTTTATAGGGATATTGTAAGAATTAACTTTATATGGGTATTGTAAAAATTGACTTTGTATGGATTTTTTAAGAATTGACTTTATATAGATATTGTAAGAATTGACTTTATATGGATATTGTAAAAATTGACTTTGTATGGATATTGTAAGAATAGACTTTATATGGATATTGGAAGAAAAAAATTACACATAGGTTTAAAACTGTGTTCTTTTTATATTTTAAATGTAATTTTTTTACCCGCTAACCTTTTTTTTGCATAAAAAAAGTTGAGAAAAAAACAAGGACATTTGAGGTAAAAAATATAAAGTTAGCAAGAAAAAGGAAAAGTATAGAAATACAAAAAAACATGTGCTCTGCGAGAAATGGCAGGAGTAATCTTGATGAAGGCCAATATGTCAAAATTATGTTATGGACACTATTTTTTTAAATTGAAAAAGAAGTGATTCAATCACATCAACTTTTAATCATTACAAACTGTAAGAGTTAAAAGTCAGAGTTAACTAAATTTTTTAAATGTTATCTTAACATTTAAAAAATTCAGTTTCTCCCAATACTAATACCTTTTTTATTTCAGTAATAGCTTCACAAACAGGTGATGCTTTTTAATATATATATATATATATATATATATATATATATATATATATATATATATATATATATATATATATATATATATATATACATATATATATATATATATATATATATATATATATATATATATATATATATATATATATATATATATATATATATATATATATATATATATATATATATATATATATATATATATATATGTATATATATATATATATATAATATAATATTAATTAAATATTTTCAGGAAGGTTTTATTAAAGCTCCATCAGATGAGTTCTTCATACAACCAATCAAAACAGATGTGCCTATCAATATTTTGATGCCTAGAAGACACATAGTTTATCGTGCAAAAGATATTAATATTAATATTTCTGATAGTGAGCTACTGTTTGAAGAAACTTCTCATGGTACATATCATAATGCATTTATTTTGCAATATTAGTTATTTTTTAAAACATTTTTATAATTTGTTTTATTTTTTGCAACAAAAGTTATAAGCTTTTTTAAAAAGTTTATTTTGTTTGTTTTCAGCTTCTCATATAAAAACAAATTGGAGAAAAGTGAGTCGGTTCCGTAGAAATGGTTATGAAAGTTTCTTAGACTTTATCAATAGATCTGGCCGCAGAGTTCAAGTAATTATCATTTTACTTTTCTATTTGGTAGTTCATAAATATTAAACTCAATTATTATTTTCAAAAAAATGCATGTTAAAAGTCTTATTAAAGGGATTTGTTTGAAAAGTTCATTTCATAAAAAACCATTTGATAGTTTTAACTCTTTTGAAACTTACTTTCCAATGGTTCTCTAAAAACAAAATAAGATAGTAAATTTTAAAGTAATAATAATAAATTCAAATAATATTTATGTTTTTTGAACATGTTAAACACTATAGCTTACTGTTGAAATAAAAAAAAAAAAACTCCTTTGAAAAGCAACAACAAAAACAGAAAACAACTTCAAAATAGAACAAAAGAAAAACTACTTCAAAATACAAAAAAAAAAAAAAATGTTATTTAAAAAAGTCTTTCAAGTGTTAGCAACCAGCATGCAGCTAGTTTCTTTTCATGCTTTCTTTCTGTTCTTGTGTCATTTAAACTTAAAAGAAATTTTTTTATTCTGTAGTTTTTTTTTCAATCAAAAATAATCAAAGAAATAAAATTATTTATTAAAAGGGTTGCTAGCATAGCATAGATAAACTAAACGTAAACTTTAGATTTATTTTAACATTAAAAAGTTTTTATAGTTTATTATTTGATTTTATTTTATTTTCTTACTTTTATTACAAATAACTTCTATGATTATTAGTTGTTGTGAAAAATTATTAATTGTTGTGAAAAACAAAAATGAATTTAAAAAAAGTAGATCTGTGGAAAATAAAATTTATTTTTTTCGTAATAACTAAATAAATTTTTTACTTTTTAAAATTAAAGTTAAAGTTGTACCAAGAAAATATTAATGACATACAAGCAAAATGTTACATTAAATATAAGCAGTAATAAAAAATAGTATAATAAAAGCAATATCTGTACCTTTTATGTTAAATGTTTTTTTAAAAATTAAAAATGGAAAATATCTAATAAGATCATTAAATAAAATCCGATACATTTGACTAATAATGGAGAGAAAAGGAGTAACACAAAAACATTTATGTTGGCTGTTAAAAAAATATTAAGATCTTTAATTGCTAATACTTTAATTTTCATAAGTGATTACTTTAATAATTATACAATGAGTGTAATAAAAATACTTTGTCAAATTTTGTGTCAAACTTATTTTTAAATAAATTTTATTTTTTAACTTTTAAGGTAATGGTTTTTCTTTTATAGTTACTTTTGTTATTTGTTTAGGTATACATATTTGTTTAGGTATACATATTTGTTTAGGTATTTAATATTTGTTTAGGTATACATATTTGTTTAGGTATTTACATATTTGTTTAGGTATACATATTTGTTTGGGTATACATATTTGATATTTTAAATCAGATTAAATAAAAGCTAATAGATTGTTTTTTCAGCTTTTGTATTTTGATTCTTACGGAAAAGAACTGCCATTTATGACAATTTTGGTGAATGAAAAAAGAGGTGTAAATACGTTTCATGGAACAAAATGGTTAGTTAAAGATGAAAAAACAGGTCAAGTACTTTTGATTGATGGGAAAAAAAGTTATACAGCACGGCAAGGATCGCGACGTGTTTCTCTTGTAATTACTACACCAAGTGAGTTGATTTCACTTGTGGTATAAGAAGTTGTGTTTGTTTTATATCTCTCACTTAAAAAATATAAATTAAATGAATTCCTCCCCCCTCCTCCTTCCTCATGTCTCAAGTTTAATTGCAATACTAGTGAAATACAATACTGCATAACTTTAAATAAATTATTGTATTTAAATTAATTATATTAAATATATAATTTGTATATAAATTAGTAGTGGTGTAGTGGTAGATTGCTTGCTTTGTAAACATGAAGCACAGAGTGTAATCCTGGCTGCATCCCTGGTAGTATTGTAACAATGACATAAATATAATTGTAACAATAATTAAAAAAAGAGTACTCGGTGTAGTTAAGGCAATTTTTAAATGTTATAGCGTATATTTTGTTGACTATGATATATTTCTGTTAAATGATCAGGTCTGTGAATTATGAAAAGACAAAAAAAAATTAAAATGATAAATTTTGCGGTAGCATAAAATAAAAATGTTTATAGCAAAAAAGCCCAGATTGAAGATTCATTTTTTTAAAAAAAAATCTTTTTAAAATCACAATTGCTTGCCCTAATTTTAGTAAGATTTTAAATAAATACGTTTTTTAGGTGAAATGAACATTTTAATTTAACAATATGATCTGTTCTGATTGTTTATTGGCAATTTTTCTTAATTATAAGCTCTTTCTTAGTCGGAATTGTAGTATTTTTTGCAAAAATTGATATAAAAATTGTATTTTGACAACTACATATAGGTAATATGTCAGAACCAATTAGAACTAGGATATTATAGTAAATTAAGGAACCTTTTCAAAAGATTTTAACTAAGTTCATGTTAATGCCGATGAGTGGAATTGATCTAAAGACTTCAAAATAGTATTCTTTAGGTTCACTATTAGAAATAGGTAGTAAAAAAGTTTTGAAAATTATATAAAAAAAAGAAAAGTTTCTTTAAATATTAAAAAAAACCTGAAGCAAAAAATATAATGATAAAACCATGCAAATTATAAATAAAAGAATTCAAATAATTTGTAAATTGCCTTAACTATATTAAGTAGCCTTCCTGACAATAGACTTCCTGACTCTCTAGGTCTCAAAGAGAGAGAGAAAAAATATTTTTTGTAAAAGTATTAAGAGTTTATATACAAATGTATTTAAAACTATCTCCTTTAACTTTTTAACATGCTTTGGCATGTTAAAAAGTTAAAGTCCATAGAAATTTGTAAATAAAAAAACAACAATAAAAATTATTTCACAAAATCAATTATCAAAATAATGATTTCAAAAACTTCAGGGAGTAATAAAAAACTTGGGGAGGGGGGGGGGGTTAAGCTAAAAATATATGTTAACAGCATTGCATCTCTTCTTCATTTAAAGCTAGTATAGTTGTAAACTGTGTTTCCTGCCAATGATGATGAATGATTCATCTTGAAATTAAGCAATCATTAGCTTATTGCTTAGAGTATTATACACCATATATAATTGAATCAAGTTCTCTAATTATCAAAACCATAAATAAAGTACTTAAAAATATTTAAAAAAAACCATCATAACCATCTTATTGTTTCAATCTATCTTTTACAAATATTTGTGGTTTTAAATTAAATTTTCATTTTATGAATCCTACCAAAATTCTTACTTGCTCTTCGTGAGACAAATCTTAATTTAGTTGTTTCATCTTCAGATCTTAAAATAGATCTTTCATATCAAAGGTTTATGATAAAGTGGGTATGCTGGTTTTATCCATAAGCTGGTTTCATATAGTGTATATGGAAAAGTTTTTAAAATTCTTAAATCATTCCTTTTTTTTTTAGACATGGTCTAAAATTGCATAAATATTGTTGATCCTATTGTAGCTGTCAAGCTTGAGCCTCTGTCCATTATAATAAGGTTGCATCTCTTTTTTTTTTCTAAAAAAATGATTGCTACTCAAACGAGTTATCATCTTTCGTTCCATCAGCCAAAGCTTAATCTTGCCTAACTGGTCTTACAGCAAAGTTTCATTCTTTTACTCTCTTTGTTCTTTCATGCTCTAAAATCTTTATTTATCTAGTTTTTTTTCCTCCACATCAATGCTTTGGAATTCTCTACTATCATGTTTTCCTTACATACAGAATTTACAGTGAATTAAAAATTTTAATCATTTACAATTTAATAAATTACATTAAAAATTTAAATATGTTGACTCAAATCTAAACAGTTTTTCAGAAAAGAAAAAAAAAATTATTTTTGTGTTGAAATAAAAGTGTATCTAGATATCTGTTCAAAATTATACCCTCAGTGGATGTATGTACTAAAGTCCCTGCAGCTTCCCTATTTCATTATGATGTTAATAATCAATGGTATTTTATGTAAAGCTAAGTATGCAATGATATTTGTATGTGTTTTGTCAAAAAACCATTAAACCATTTCAAATTGGTAATATTGCACATAACGAAGTATTACATAATACTACTTTTAATTATACCAAATAATTAATACTTTTTAATATTGTTAAAACGAATTTTACATATGACTACCTGAAAATGAATAAACATATTGTTTTGCATGCATAAAAATACATATAAAAAGCATAATATTGACTCAACTTAATTTGACATTTGCTTTTCTTAAATATTCACATCTAAGAATAAAAACAAGTTGAATTATCATTGCAGAAACTCTGGTGACTTCATTAATTGAATCAGCTAAAAGTTTTTTTAAAAATAAATTTTTTATTTTTAGCTGGAATGACATTTGAAGATGTCTTGGAAAAAGATGGTGGAAAAATACCTGATTACTTTGCTGAAGTAATTGTAGTTGCTGATCAATCACTAACCAAATTTCATGGCAAAAATGCACTTGAGAAATACATACTAACAATGTTTAACATTGTAAGTAATTGTATATGTATATATATATATATATATATATATATATATATATATATATATATATATATATATATATATATATATATATATATATATATATATATATATATATATTTTTGAAATGACTATTTTTTATTGTTTTATTTTATTGTTTAAAAACAGTGTAAAATTGAGTATTGTTTTTATTGGTTGTTTAAATATAAATAGTTATTTACAAAAATAAAAGTAATAATTTTTATGTTTAATAAAAAATTGAAACTTAGCAAAAAATTGGCGTTTTTTTGCAAAAAAAACTGTTTGCTGTAAAAACTTAAAAAAAAAAAAAAAGTCCTCAAATTTTAATTGGGTAATGCCCAAATACAGTAGAAAAAGGTCTAGAATAGCTGCTGAACATATATATATATATATATATATATATATATATATATATATATATATATATATATATATATATATATATATATATATATTTATATATATATATATATATATATATATATATATATATATATATATATATATACATATATATATATATATATATATATATATATATATATATATATATATATATATATATATATATATATATATATATATATATATATATATATATATATTGAAAAAAATTTTTGGTTTTGTAACTTTAAAAATTACGTTTTTTAACAAAAAATGAAAAAAATGCATTTTTAATTTTTTTTTTGATAATTTTAATAAGTTAAAATTTTTTGAAAATAAATATAATTTTTATATAATTTCGCTTCATTTGAGTACCAGGTTGATATAATTTTGAAAAACTTTTTTTTTGAAAATATTAGGGACCCATTAAATATTCGAGGGTCTTGAGGGTCCCCTTAAAATATTTTTTCATTCTAAAAAATTTTAAACCTAGTTTATTTGTATTAGATAGAACACATATAGAGTGTGGGAGCAGGTTTTTTTCAAAAAAGTTGTTTTAAAGGCCACCCTATTATGTATATATGTGTATATATATATATATATATATATATATATATATATATATATATATATATATATATATGTATATATGTAAATATATATGTAAATATATATATATATGTATATATATATATATATATGTATATATATATATATATATATATATATGTATATATATATATATATATATATATATATATATATATATATATATATATATATATATATATATATATATATATATATATATATATATATATATATATATATATATATATATATATATATATATATATATATATATATATATATATATATATATATATATATATATATATATATTAGGGCCCTGCGAAGCTTTGAAATTTCAAATTGAATCAAAAAGTAATTCGAAATTTGATTCGAAAATCTGCATATTTTCAAATCAAGGTTTCTTAATATAGTTTCAAAATTAGTGGTTGCTAATCATTAAGGTCTTTTTTTGTTAAGCAGTTCTATCACTTGTTATAAGAAAATAGCTTTTTTCATAGTTTATTTGTTTTAAAGGGGTTTTCCCATAAAGTATGTAACATTATAAATAAATTTTAAGTATAGGTATTATCTTTTGGATCTTTAAGGCACAGAAATTTCCTTTGACATAAAGCGCTATATTACTTTAAAGGAATCAGCGCAAGAGAACCATAATCTCCTCAAATTTCAATTATAAATTACAAAATTGTCGTAATTATTCATTCCAATAATCTCCTCAAATTTCAATTATAAATTACAAAATTGTCGTAATTATTCATTCCAAGGTTTTTAAAACTCTACTGTAATGCTATTAAAAGAATATACTTAGTTGATTTTAGTTTTTGTATTTTATTTCAAGGAGTGCATTTAAGTTTAAATACAATCTTTTATTAATTATCTTCGTTTAGATAAAGGAATCAAAAATTATTTAGATTTGTCACACCTTTATTACTTTACTTGTAACACAATTAAATAAAAAAATGTTATTTTCAAAATTAACTTTTGATTTCATATACTCCAGGGTCAACGACACGGGGATTTCGAAGTGGGGGGGGGGGGCACAATTGTCAATTTTAAAAAAAGTCTTCTATATCTAGAAGACTTTTTTTTAAAAATAAAAAAATGGTCCTTTAGAAAAAAGTAGTGGGGCACATGCCCTCTGGCCCACCGGTGTTGTTGGCCCTGTACTCTTCATTTCACTAACTCTTTCAAATTACTATATTTCAATTTATACAATGGTAGGAGTTGTTAAGTCTTACTTTGAATTAAAAGATCAGTCTTATGTAAAACGTGCTTTGAATTAAAAGATCAGTTATTTATGTAAAACATGCAAAACCACTTTACATGCACAAAACACTGGCACATCATAACATCTCTGGGATCACTTGGAAAAGAAAACTTAAAACACTTCATACTCAAGCTGAAGCAGAGCAAACAAAAAACGTAAATTGTCAAAACCAGATGTTTTGGAAAGCAGTTGTTTGAAAAAATTGAAAAAAAGCGTTACGTCAGATTAAACACAAGAAAATATGTGACCAAGCTGTATTGGAATTTATTGTTGCAGATGGACATTCTTTTGAGACTTGGGCTGGTAAGGGTTTTATAAAATTGTGTTCAATTCTTACTAATAAAAGTTATACACCTCCCCATCCATCTACGCTTTCATGTATGATTAATGACTTAAAAAACAATGTTTGATTTCA